CGAGGGCCACGGACCCGGCCGCGAGGGGTTGTCTTCCGCCCGGGCAACGTGAACGTACCCTCGACGGACCGACAGGAGGAGGCGCAGATATCTCCGGCGTAATTTATCACCGGAGCTAGAGAGACGGGGAACCGGCTAGAAAAGTTGCCGGGCACGGGGCCCGGCACCGGCCGGGAACGCGAAACCGACAGGAGAAAGAGAGCAGTCGCGCGGAGGATCGGGCGAACTCGGTCTCGCTTGAGCCCGGCCCTCATTACCACGCCCCTAGACTTCCTAGTCATTATCTGGTGGTTCCAATAGCGAGATCGAATTTCATCACGAATTCCGGGACGGACATTCCACCGTGATAATCGGTCTACTTTGCGATCTACTTTATTCCTGCACTGGAATCCTGTATCCGCTGGTAGCGAGATTCCTGCCGGGGAACCACCTCTCTTCGGCTACCTGCCTTCTCGCAGCCTTCACCTGAATTTTTCCTCGCGTTTCCAGCGGACGAAAACCGCGTTGCCGGTCGCACGAGGGGAGACCGTCGGAGGCGCAGCGCGCGGGAGGGGCAATGTAAACCCGAGGGCTCCGCTCTCGGGGGCTGGATGTAAATAATTAAAGAGGTCCGGCGAAAACAAATATATCGTTTCGCGCAGTGTGATAGATGATGTTGCTTATTCACCGTCCTGGATGAAGAGAAAGGAGTGGTAGACGACCAGGAGGAGGTGGAGGAGGAGGAGGAGGAGGGGGCGGAGGAGGAAGAGGAAGATCGCAAGCGCACGGAGAGCGAGCGAAGACGAGAGAAAGAGGAGGTTCGGACCTCGGTAGGCTTTTAGGACGTTTGGCGGACCGAGAGAGGGTTCAAGGGCGTGCTGGACGTTTCGAGGGAAGGATGGCGAGGCAATTAGGAGGCTCAGCAGGGTGCCAAAATCGTTGCCCTCTTCCTCGTCCCTCCTTCTGCGTCGGGCCTCCTCCTACGCCCCTGACTTCGCCCCGAACCTCTCCCTCCCTCGGCCTCCTAATCCCTCTTCTCTCCGTGCTCTCTATTTTTTTCCCATTCGAATCGATCTACGGGCCTTCTTCCTCCTTTCAACCGAATCAGGAAGGACAAGCATTCCTGACCCACCCTTCGATCGTGTAACTAACCCGAAACGCCCTTCTCCGTCCACACCCTCGCATTAATTCAAACATTCGTGCCCGCGACGGAACAGCGGACGTTAATGTCGGGGTCGGTGTGTTCCTTTGCCCCTAACAGCGTGGTGATTGTTTCGAAAAATCACGGCAATGAAAGCGGAAGGCGTGTCTCTCGTTGAATATTCGACTTCGACGATCGGTATTTATGTATTCCTCGAATCGCCGCGTAGAGTTTCATTTACACTTAGACTCTCGCCGAGATGCGACAGCGTTTAAGTGACAGGGAGACGACTGTGGCTAGCCGGGGGGTAGCAAGGTGTCTAGGGATCGAGAACATGGTAATATTTAAGGGGTGCAAAGTGGCGCGAACACGGTCAAGGGGTGGAAACTGACCGAAACGATTCTGATCCAGAAATCGATGGTGGCACACCCGGCGGGCTTTGCCGGAAACTACAGAAGCTGTCAGTAAGGTAGATCGTCTGGTCGAACTGTCGTTGGTACGATTGTCATCCGTACTACCAACCTCTGTCACTAAAGTTGCCTATCTTACCAACCACAGGGAACCTTAATCGTCAATAAAGTCATTTCTCGAGTGTATCATACGAATATATACTTTAATTAAATTTACCTTCGGAATAGAAATTAGGAATCATCGCACTCTGTTCTTAAAAAATCGATAGAAGGATCGTCGCGTACCGGCCCCTTCTAAATGTTACATCAATACAAAGAGCACCCGTTCTGTTTGCGTTCCCTTGGCTACCCCGCCGGAAGTCATTCTACAAATCTAACCCGGAGTTCTGGGTGGTAACGTAAACTCTTCCGAGAGGAACTCTCGAGAATCCTATTGAAAATCGAGTCGCGATCCTCTCGTTTGAAATCAGAGGCGCGAGAATTCGAGGGAGACGCCATGGCTACGAGAACCTCCGAGATCTGCAGGATGTGCAACCGCGGATTGCAACCGTACAACGTCCCGACCGCAGAATCGGAGAAAAGGCAGACGTACGCTTTCGTCCGAAGCCCGAGAGCGATCTTGCATATTCAGAAGAAATACAGAAACCCATCCACGTAAGTACACCATCAAAATAACTGAAACTCGCCGGATTAACCCTTTGCACTCGAAAAATTTGTCGCTAGGAGTATTCAATTTATTCTTTTGAGACATAGGTGACATTCTTTCAACCCCTTGGCCTACAATGAGTAGTCGTGAAGATTTTCATGATTCAACAAATATATATAGTACTCGGTTCATTCGAATTCGAAGTAAATATTATTCCTCTATAATCAACTGTTATACTTAAAAGGAAATGTAGGTATAGCATATGATTAGAATTTTTCTGTTTTTCCAATAAATTGTTAATGACAGAGTAGCCGTATCGGTGAAAGTTGAGAAAGAAATCGTGGGCCAAGGGGTTAAACTAACTTAACGAGGGATCTACTCACAAAATAAGGGGAACAATGGTACAGACAGATTACTCGAGACTTAACGTTAAATACGAAATTTTACAATTTCGATGCACCAATCGAGTGATGACCGAGAGGTACTTTCGGAGTGCAAAGGGTTAATAGGGGCTATAATTTCCAAGAGACCGCTGGCAACTGATGGGCGAGCGTCGTAGGAGTTCTGTGTCACAAGTTTCTTTATCGCACAGTAAACCAGCTCGATTCATGGCACCGATATCGTGACACGAAATCCATAATAACTCCAGAAGCAATAGCACGACCCTGTGTTAAACGTTATCGCCGCAGGAAGTCGTAGTCCTTGGCGAACTCTGGATTACCGTTACTCGGAAACTTCGATTCGTGCATAAAATTGTCCACCTCGGTCGCTATAAATTACTCGGTATCCTTTAAACCTATGAATCAAATTCTGTAAAATGTTTCACGCCTCGCTTAAACCATTTTTCGACCTTTACAACACGGTTTATTAGTATTAACCCTTAGCAATCCAGATGGTAGTGTAATTTACCAACAACTGTAACTAATTTCCATGGTATCTCTAGTGAAAATGAAAAATGCTATAACATTCCTTCGATCTTCTATTTCCCTTCTTAGTAGAAAATTTGGATGCGTGGAAAATCGAATAATTTTAGGGTAGTTTCTTTGACTCGTTAAAATATTTGATATTATAACTGGTGCAATATCGGAGCCTACAGAGTTCAAAGGGTTAATTGAGATCCAAATGAATCTTTGATATTCGCACGTTCAAATCACCGAGTATCGATGAAATATGGAATTATAAAACTCCACAGAAGAGAAACGTTTATGTGTATCGTCTGGGGTTGAAGAAAACTCTATTCTATAGAAAGAACGGATGTAACGGCGTCTCTAAGGCTGCTCGCTCATCAATTATTTCGCGTTCTAATTCGGACTAATCTGAAAAACTATACGCGAGCGGCAAGGTGTGATCCACCCGTGACGGTATAAGCGACGGTCGCATGTCGATTACTTCGTAGATGCCCGGCAGAAGGGAACGACCGCGCGTTTGATTTTATCGCGCGCTCGCCGCAACCGCGGACACGTTACGATCGCCACGGCAGATACAACCGCCGAGACCGCGCGATCGCGATTTCATTATCGCGCGGACTGTCTCGGAAGAAATGCCGTCCAAAGGAAAAGTTCACTGACTTCTCCCCCGTTGCACCCTTAACCGAGCGTAAAACTAATCCAAAATTCAGGTCGAAAACCGTATTACTACTCATTGCTCGGTGCACACGTGCACGCCACGGTTCGTGGTTTTCCATTGTGCGTGTCGCGTGTCTCGCCAAGGACAGCCGCAGTACGCTGACCAACTTAGAAAAGAAGTTGGAAACAATTGACCAACGCGGCGATCAACGACGAAACTCTCGATTGAAATATCGAAATAATCGCGACTACCTGGGAACAGGGGGATCAATCTTAGTAACCTTCATACCTTGACATCGAGGAACGTGTTCGCATTATCGGAATCAAAGACGGGGTGGCAAGTTATTAATCAACGAATGGGCGTGATCGAGCACGCGATTAAGGGTCCCGCAACAAATTAGCATGTATCGGTCGGAGGATCTCGCCTAAAAATCCATTCGGATCGCGCGTAAGTTCCGCACAGTCGGGATTGAAAAGTTCCCGTTACAGTCGCCGTGACGCGATTAAAAGCGGAGCTATTAGTCTTCGCGCGAGGCGTCACGGGGAACGGTCGGCGTGTAACGTGCTTCACCTTGAACAGGTTCACGGCAAGGGGGTGAGCGGCGAAGTTCGGCCGGCGTCGGTTGCGGGGAACGTGGACGGACGTACGTGGTCATAGTTACCACCGATTTCGAGCCCCCTCGGCATCACTTAGGCATGCGCAAAGTTGACGATGGTCAGCGTTATTGAGTGGCCGCTCGCGCGGTAAAAATATATACCTCGCGCTCCCTGTCTGCGGTCTATGTCGGTCGATTCTAAGGACATTGTCCAGTCTCTGAACTCGGCCGCGGTGTTGCGAGCCGGTTAGTAAGGCCGTGAACACCGCGCTGACACCCTCGCCGTCCGCTTTCCGCGCTCGGCAACGTGCGACTCGAAACGGTCCACCTTCCGGTGAAACGCGGAGATTCCCTGAGTCGATCGCCTGTCAGAAACGTTAAACCTTTGCAGATGAGTCGAGATCCAACGTTACCCACGCGTCGGGAACAAGTGAACTTATTATAGATTTATCAGAGGTTTAGCGTTACCCAGAGATCACCGGTAAGATCGTGCTCCGACCGCTCGTCTGACCATGAACCGACCGTCCCCACTTCGAAAAGCTTAGACTTCCGAAGTTCCTCTCGATTTCTTCCGTGAGGAACTTCATCGAGGAGGATGTCGCGTCGCCAATGACAGGATGCACGTAGGAACCAGTTGCGAACGGTTCTGAGACGAAGCGCGGGATGCCGGCGGAAATTTCAACGCTGGCGCCGATCGTAAACGGGGATCCTTTCGGCCGCGAGCGAAAGGATCCTCCGGCGTTCACGATCCTGCAGAAAGACGGGCTGGACAGCAACCTGCCGTTGCTCCACGTGAACGGCGACATGAACGGCTCGGACGGCGCGCGGTTCGAGCACTGCGACCACAGTCTGTTCGAGCGGAAACGGCTGAGCAGATCGAACGACCACTTGGTCCAGGCGAGCTTGCAGTCGGGCCAGGCGAACCCGCTGCAGAAGAAGTCGCGGAGCAGGAGCCAGGACAGCGTGCGCTCCTCGGAGAAGGTGCCGGCCATCAAGCCGAGCATCACGCTGTCGACGGAGGACTTCAACGAGGTGCTGAACGCGAAGCTGAAGAGGATCCAGGACCAGGAGCGCGAGGAGCAACGCAGGAGCGCGAGGAGGAGCCAGTCGTTCCGCAAGAAGCCGTTCATCACGACGGTGAAGACGGGCGAGTTTCTGATGCCGCCGCCGGAAGTCGCGGCTCTCCTCGGCATCGGGCCCGGCGAGCCCGAGGAGCCGGAGGCTTGTCCTCTTCGCTCGAGGTTTAAATCTCTGGTGTCGCTGGCCAGGAAGCCGGAAGTACGTCACAGCAGCCACAACGCCAGGTGTCCGGCTGCCCTCAAGGCCACCGTCGATTTCACTCTCGGCATGATGAACGCGTCGACCATGGCTGCGGCGACCTTGGAGGAGCGCGCGAGGATCGCGAAGAGGAGCGACGCGATGTAAGTTCGATCGTATTTCGATCGTATCGCCTGTAGGACGTTTTATTCCTTCAGTCGTTCGAAGGGAGGAAAGGTATTACCGTCGAGCGAAATGTATGCTCGAGGGAGATGTAGCTGGAGGAAGGGAGAGGGTGGAAGTTTTAAAAGTAGAATGGACCTTTTACTGTTCGTTGAAATCATGATGGAGGCACTGGTTCACCGGGTATCGATTACGATGCAAAAATCTCGGTAATCGCGTGTCGCGTGTTTATAGTTCGCTTGTCCGCTGATCGCTTATCGTAAGTTCTCGCCGCTCGCCCAACGGTTATATCCGTAAATCGTGTACTTTGTTGCTAACTGTGCCCCACGGAGGTTGCCGAGCGATATCGTTATTTTCTGAATTTTCAGCGATCAACCGGTTCCTCTGGGGAACATCATGTTCGATCGACGGGTCGTTCGGGGGAGCACGTTCGCCGCTGCTCCGACGCTCGTAAGTAATTAACCTGTTTACCGGTTAATTCTCCCGATCTCCGTGTTTATGCTACTGTAATAAAAAGCGGACGGAAACGACGCTGTTTCATTGGTCCCTTTGAGAAATGCGATTGACGCCTGCGATACGCGTCCAGTGTTTCGATGAAGCTGACTTGTACCTGTAGATATTTACCCTCTTGGCTACTGTCGGCACCTAAATGCTCTTTAACACGTTGAACGCCACACGATTTCATAGAGCAAAATACACAAAATGGAGGAAATACAATATTAAATCATTTGACTGGATTGGATCATCATTGCACGTTCATCAAACTGAATGTCACCGCAATGTGTAGCATTGTTTATAATATAGAAATGTTTGCGAATAATCACCGTTTAATTGAGTGAATTATAGTAACTCAATTTGCTTGGGGGTCACCGGTGACCCCATAGCATTCAACGTGTTAAACATTTCGTTTCGTGCACTGTTAAATGTACCATAAAATGTTATTGACAAACGAAGCCCCTTTAGATCCGATACAAGTGAATTCTGATTCAACAATTACATCTTTCGTTAGTCATATATTATATAAATCTACTATATAAATCTGATTATTTTAGATCGATCTAATGTAGTTCAGTGTTTTCATGGTTCCACACTTTCCTATAAACACGCGTTGACATTCAGTAGCCAAAGGGTTAGGAGAAATAAGTTAACCCTCTATAGGCCGAATTTTTGTTCACGATTATAACAAAATCTACACAGTAAAAAATCAATAAATATGCACATATGAATGCGAATAAACAATGTATTCAATAGTTTCCATAATTTCATCGAACGAATATATTTCGTAACTTAAGTTACAATGACGTTAAACTTTCACACCTGAGCATATAAAAGTTTAAGTTAACTGATTATTTAATTTTCTTCACCACTTCGAGTGCAAAATGAAATAAATCAAGACGCCAATATACTGATATGTGACTTCAAAGTTACATGAGCCTATAGAAGGTTAACTCAGCATCCTCGATCAGATCATTTCAATCATTTCAATCAACGATTCCCTGATAACGTAGCGAAGCTCAACGTCCTCACGGTAGATAGAAATTTCTTACGGGGAACTTTCGCCGCGCGTGTCTCGTTCCCGGTGAAATATTTGCGTACTCGTCGCAGATCGATGGGGAGCAATCGATAGCGGCGAGGCAGGCGGAAGCGAGGAGGAGACATTTGGCGAGGAAACGTGCCCAGGCGCAGGCCACGAAAGCTCTGATTTTGAGAGCAGGGTCACCGCCGCCGGTCCCCGGCCGGAAACACGAGCCAGTGCAAACAGAAGTCTTTCTGGAAGAGGTAACGATCGTCCGCCCCCACCCCCTACGATTCGTTTTAATTACACTTTAATCACGCCGAGCAGTTGTTCGACAAACCGGACGAGTTCGACGCAGCGACGCAGACCGAGTATTTCCTGGACAGGCCGCCGACTCCGCAATATTGCCCGCCGAAAGTTGGCCAGGACGCCAGCACGCAAATCGAGCCCGGTGACGTGAGTCATTACAATAAATAATATATTTAACGGTGGCCCCTTGATGCACCGCCTCTCCTAAATATTTTATGCGCTCGCCGACGTTTAACATAGGAGAACCGAGAGAAACGCTAGAATTGAAACGAAACGCGGTCTATAGAAGTAGAAGCGTCGAACACGGGAACGAAGTAGCGTGGACGATTGTAGCTATAAGGTCGTCTATAGTTGGAAAACTGGTTGACGAAGACGCGTTGTTTACAGCTGTTCGACTTCGACTTCGAAGTGCAGCCGATTTTGGAGAAGCTCGTCGGGAAGACGATGGAGGAGGCTCTGATAGAGGTCCTCGAGGAGGAGGAGATCGCCGCGCTGAAGGAGCAACAGAGGAAGTTCATGGAACTCCGCGCCGCGGAGAAGGCTGAGGAGAAGAGACTCGAGGAGCAGGAGAGGAGAATAAGGGAGGAAAAAGTAAGATAGGATTCCAATTCATTAATTTCCATTGTAATAATAGTGTCTAATCAATAATAAATAGTTATGAATGAATAGTTCAATAGAAACTATTATTATAATTTCCAGTATAATAATAGTTTCTAATTTCCAGTATAATAATAGTTTCTAATTTCCAGTATAATAATAGCTTCTAATTTCCAGTATAATAATAGTTTCTAATCAATAATAAATGAATAATAAATAGTTACGAATAAATAGTTCAATAGAAACTATCATTATAATATCCATTATAGTAATAGTTTCTAATCAATAATAAATAGTTACGAATGAATAGTTCAATAGAAACTATTAATACAATTTCCATTGCAGGATCAGAGACTGAAGCAACACGAGACAGCGATGAGATACGAAAGAGAGAATGAGGAACGCGTCGCGGCGGCTACGCTTCTGACCGGATACATCGCGGAACTACTTCCGGCGGTCCTCGAAGGGCTGAAGATGTCCGGATTCCTGCTGGACGAGATCAAGGCCGGTTCGTGAACTCGCAAGAACACACTGCTACTTTTTGTGCATTAGTTAATCAGAAAGGTTTATTAATTTTTCTTTATTTACATCCTCTAACCAGTGTCGGTATCGGTGCACGCCTGTTTATATCGTTCGTACTACCTTTCCTCGGTAGCTCCGCGAGAGTCTGACCGTGTCTCTTTGCGCAGATATGGAGGAGGGTTTCGTGCCGTGGCTGATGAGCGAAGTGAAGAAGGAAATGGGCAACATGATCGAGAGCAGGGAGCTGCTTATGGGTAAATACCTCCCGTGCAACTTAGTCGTAGCTTAAGGGATGCGAGAATCTCGATTTGTATCACGGCCGTATTGACTCCGGATTTATGGTGGTATCGGTAACACCGAAAGCCCGGCCGTCTTTGTGCCCCGTCGTCGCTAATAACAGCCTTGTCCACGCTGGCTTTACTTGCTATTGTACAAGCAGCGATCCCACGCCGTTCATTATGGCCCCTCGAAACCAAAGAAAGTTTCTATCGGCAAACGGACGGTCGTAAACCTCAGGTACGATCATTGACCACGGCCTGGTGCCACTATGTCGCGACATGCCGAATCCTCGCTGTCCTCCTCGGACACCTCCGACGTCGTAAATAATATTAATTCGAACATAGAGGCGCACTAAGCCCTGCACCTCGATCCGCGTCTCTCGTCGATTATCATTTCATAGAAACCTTAAGCGTATATTTGGTGGGATTATTCACCTGTACGTCGGATAAAGAGAACTTGTACCTTTCACCGCAAAACAACGAAATCACCCTTTATTTCGTTTAACTATGTATGAAGTAGTCACTTTAACCCCCTGACCTAGAATGTATACGTTATACGCCATTTTGGCTACCCATCCGGTAGTTCCAAGGTTAACGAAGAAAACTCAAGGGAGAATCTTCAAGATGGCCACGTATGTTTCAGAGATCATCAAGGAGATCCTGGAGAACCGGGCTGAGACGTACAAGAAGCTGGGCGAGGAGTACGACGCCGAGAGGAGAAAGAAGCCGTCGCTGGAGAATATAGAAGATGGCGGGCGAGACCCGAATTTCGTCAACTACCAGCCAGCGGTTTTCGAGAACGCCGACGTTATCTAGCGAGACGTAGGTGTACAGCGACGGGGAACCTGTTTATTTA